AGGAGAGGTCTGCCACGCCATGTGGATCTCCTCCGGGGCAGGCGGGGATTGAACTCATGCGGAAGTGGCTTAAGCTTCTTAGTGCAGTGCTTTAACCAGCTGTGCCACCAGGGAAGGCCGAGATTTTATTTATTTTTACGTAGAAGAACTGGGGGGTAGGCCAGAAGTGTGAGGAGTCAGGGGTGGGTATGTGAGAGGATTCACCAGAGACAGAGTAGAAGCAAGCAGATCTACTGAAACACACAGCTAAGGCAAGACAGGAGAGGTCTGCTGTGTCATATGTGGTTCAGAACGTTGGCCTGGACAAACACAGGCTGTGTTTAGGTGATAGCACTGAGACTTAACCCCCTACACCACCTGGGAGGCCCCTCTTCAATCCATGTGTGTTTATAACTTTTCTGGGATTGTGATCATAGTTTGAATACAAAATCTTAACCTGTTTTCCAGCTTTCATTATAACATTTTCCAAACAAAACAGAAATGTTATATCAGTTGTTAAAAAGACTTACCAGTTTAGAAAAATGTCCTGAAATCCAATCAAAATTCCCAAGTTGTTTTTGGTTATGTCGTTTAAGCTCTTTTTTTTTTTTTTTTAAAGAATAAGCCCCCCACATATTTTTCGTGGCATCCAATTCTGAAAATTCCTTGTTCATCTCTGGGTCTGGCAAGAGTAGGCTCTGATAAACATGTTCGTTGAGGAGTACAACCAGTGAAAATGATTTCAAGTAATAATTACAGCTGATTTTCATGGAGGGCTGGTTCTCTTGGCTAGTGTGCTTGCAGTCATGCAACTGATCTTCACAAAAATCTGAGAGTTAAAGACATTTTGTTAGAGGTTTTGTTCCTCATTTCATTCCTAGGTGAGGAAAAAAGACTTACAGGAAGGGAAGAACTTGGAAAGGGGCCAAATCGGCTGCAGCTTCAGGTAGGGGCTGTCTATTTCTTGAGCTAGTGCCACAATGGCTGGTCTGTCTGTATTTTTTTTAATTAAATTTTTTTTTTTATTTATACATACAGAACTGGGGTACAGGCCAGAGGTGGGCTGGGGGTGAGAGGATTCACCAAAGAGTGGGGAGCAGAATAGACAGATCTACTGAAATACACTGCTGAGGGGAGCAGCGGGTGGGTCAGGAGAGGTCTGCTGCGCTCTGTGGGTCAGCTCCCTGGCCAGGGATCGAACTTGTGACACAGTGGCTATAATGGTTTCATAGTCCCGTGCACCAAGAGGGTCCCTGTCTGTATTCTTATATGTGTGAAGCAGGTAACATTTTTGGGGTGATTACAGTTTGCTAGGTTCCAATGCTATGAGCTTTAAACATTTATTTTGTTTGCTGAGATTTTCTAATGTCTTGCCATAGGCGTGGCACAGAGTAGGCGCTATGACAATGTGTAATGAAGAGTGTCCATAGCCAGGAACTCCGCCAGGATGGTCAGCGCAGACTTCCGAAGATCCGGCGTAGGGTCCCCAGACTCCGGCGATCTCAGGCCGCCGCCACCGGGCTCGAGCTGTCCTGGGTCCCGCCCAGCGCCGAGGTGGCCTCTAGCAAGTAGGCAGCCCGAGTCACTGGGTGCTTGGGCGTTCTCAACTCCCTACCCCGACTTTTCCTCCTCTCTCTGCGGATGGGCTCCGAGAGGCCCGGCGCTTACTATCCAGCACCCGGCCAAGGCGCGCGGGCTCAGAGTCCACCCAGCCGGCTCCCGCCGCGCACGCCCACCTGTCGGCCGC